GAATAACCAAACAAAAAAATCTCAAAACAATGCCTTGTTGTGGAATCTGTAGTGTGTCACAGTGCGTCACATAGTATACCTTGCAATGAACCACTGGTCTGTTTCAACTCCTCTGGCTTCACTACACTATCAATACTAGATCCTCACTGAGACTCTTCTCAGACATCCTGCTGTTGCCATGGACCATGGAGATCCTGAAGCTTTTGACAGATCATAGACGGGGTAGATGTTGGGGGGGGGGCAACTCAGAGCCCTGGACCTGGGTCTGAGAGGTCAGCTCGCCAGCCCTCTTATAGCCATACCACCACGAGGAGCAGGAATAGCTCTCTTGTTGTCATGTCCGGGGCAGCTCACCTGCGCCTTTGCCCCCAAGGACAGCTCTGTGCAACCTAGGCAAAGTTCAGGGCTCACTCTTCCAAGTGCTGCAGCCATTGATGAGCATGGACAGCTTTCCTGCCTGCTGAAGGTGGCAAGAGGCAAAGGAAGAAGGGAGAAGGACTGCTTGAAATGTTTTTTCAACTTGTAATTTTTCTAGCTCTTTGGAGCACCAATGACCAGTGGTGTACTTGAGAATTCAAAGGCAAATTGCAACTTTGTTTTGTCAAAGAGTACCCAGAAACTCCAGAGTACATGCTGATAACAATTTTTTTTTCTTGCAGACACTGATTTCTAAGGTGCCACATATAAGCACTTACCATATCTGTAAAGATGTTAATTTTATGATATGAAAGTGATACTTAATCATTCTTTCTTCATTGATAGTCTTTTTTGGGTCTGCTTTTCCTATAATTGTTTTCTTAATAATGTTCATGACAACCAATTAAAAGTTAAGTTTCCAAAACTGTAGAATAGTAAGTCAAGTTTGGCAGGAAATTCATAAGCAAGGAAATGTGAGAGTCTAAAATAACTTTTGGACCGTACAAAATTATTAAGTTGTATGAAATGAAATGAGTTCTGTGACACCAAGGCCAGGGCTGCAGCCTGAGCTTGAGGGGATCTCTATCTTCTTTACATGCCAACGATGCATTCTTCCCATGAAAGAGTCTGTTTAGGTTCATTTCCAAGGTCACATGAAGTGGCTTGATCCAATCAGTGATGGTCACTGTATGAAAATAAGGCAGGCTCACAGAAGTCTTATGGGATTACGTTGTTTGTATGATAGGTAGAAGTCATATGCTGAAACAAAAAAAAAGCAACTTAATGTTCAAAACATTCAAAATAGGCTCCCTTCACTAGTTTTAGCTTCGGAGTCCTTTGGGACAATAAGAGAAGCTGTATTTGTTCCTTAATGTCTCATATGAGATGGCAGGCAGGACAGCCCCCTTTCCCACAGAGACAGACATGGTTCGGATGACTGCTAAAATAAGCAGTGCATACTATGCATTAAGGTTGTGCCATAGTCTTTTTCTCTGGGTGACAAAACTTCACAGGACAACTTTGTTTTTACGTTTAATGACTCTGGGATCTTGAGTTTGAAAACAAAACTCTCTGAATATTAGAGATTTTCCCATGTGGTCAATACTATTAGCCATCCATCTAAGGAGAAGGCAATTAAAAGCATGACTAATCTGGGAAGATTCCAGAGTTACAGGAAAAAAAAAAACAACTCACCAAACTATTAAAATTTTTCTTTCTTATGCAAAAGAAGTAAAAAGCTGGGAGGGAGGCTGTTTCTTGAGGGAGAAAGGAATAGCTCTCCTCAGTGAGGCTTCTTTCTCAGGCACAGCACCCTAAGCACATCTTGCTCCCATTACTGCTCTTTTCAACTTTTGTTGACAGCTAAAGTTCAGAGGTTGCCTTGTTTGCCTTGTAGTTGATGTTAGTTCAGCATTAGACACTAAAGGTGGAGCTAACACATGAACTGGTGCACAGGGAGGGGGGAAGAACCTTGGCAGCCAAAGCTAACATGTGTTTTACACTTGAGACAAGTAAATTAAAAAATGAAAAAAAAAAAAAAAACACGGCAAAAGTGAGATAATTGGCTAGTATAAATGTCTGTCTTGATTCTCTCTGTGAGATTCTGAATTGAGAAACAAATTATATTAGTCACCACTCTCCTCAATCTACACATCTACATACACTCTATGATTTTAGGAACTCTCATAGTATTTCATCAGTGTTGGCCCAAGAAATCCGGTATATAAGTGTAAAGAAGTTAAAGAAGAAGACGTGTGTGTGTGCCAATAATGACACATTTTTACTTTTCTTATTTTGGTAAATTAACAAAGGTAGTTGGTTGTCGTAGGTACATTATCTTCCAAGTTTTGAAGATTCACAATGAGATCTGCCCTTTAGGTTTTATGGATATATATGAGTCTAAAACAGAGAATGATATGGTTGTGAATGTGATGAGCTTAACTTTACAACTGATACTTCAAAATGAAAGAAAAAGCATCAAACATAGACAATTGAAGTTGGTTAAATCATAGTATACTTCTATATTATTTTTCTCTTTAAAGGACTTTCTTACTGGGGTTGTATACATGGGTCTGTGATACTGCATAGCTCTTATGGAGAGGTAACAAAAATGCTCTATGATGAAAAAAAAAACCCAGAAAATTAGTAGTCAAGAATATTTTAAAGAATAGTTATAAACATTCTGAAAAAAAAAAAACACCTCATGAAACAAAGTAAGAATAAGTTATAATATATGGCTGAACTGTGTATGTAATACTGTGGCCAGAAGCAGTAGCAAAAACACATGTATATAGATACAAAGTATAGACTTTTAGCTGAGGTTAAAACTGGTACATGTATGCCCCCATCACATATCTGGTCTACAAGTGTAGACCTATTGGAACATTTACTAGCAAGACTCAAAAGAACCCAGGATATTAAAGATGTGAGTGGAACATCTTCTTTTCCTCTGCTCACAGCCAGAAATTGCTTGAGGTGGTCTTTTTTTTTTTTTGTTTTGTTTTGTTTGTTTTTTTTTTTTTTTTTTTTTGGTGTGGCGTCTGCTAACATGGAATTTCACTCAAGATGTTTCTATTTGTCTTCTTTACAGAGTATTACCATTAGCAAAGCTCATTCGCAATGGGTGTATCATAGATGACACTGGAGAGTAGTAGTAGGGTTTATACTCATGTAGTGCATGGCCTTGTCGAAACAAACATGTGATAATCAGAAAATCTATACTATTATTTCCTCTGAATTGGTAATCAATTGTTTTGACAGTGTGATAATCAAGTCATCTTTGGATTTCCTGACATTTCACTTATCCTCAAGTACATAGATTTCTCTGTTTTAATATTATCTGGAGATTATTCTAGATGTCTCAAAGTATTAGTGATAGCAAAAATAAATTATAAAATTAAATTGTGAAGTAAAAATCTGTAACTTTAGTAGCAAACACCCATTTTGACAGCCTATAATGGTAGCAAAGTTACCATTTTATTTAATTACTTTAAAGTAAATGTTACTCTACTGTAATTGATAACCTACCAAAAACAGTTACAACAAAAAGCCAGTCTGGAATAATATTTGTAAAACAAGTTAGAAACTTGCAGTCCTAAGACATACTTCTAAGATTAAATGTGGACCAACAGAATACTTAAAGAATTAATTTACTAAAAAATTTCTCTGAGGGAATTAGAATAAGAATGGGAATTCAATTCAGAAAAAGAATTGTGTAAAGTTTTGCCCATTAAGAAGAGCTCTTTAATGTGGCTTTTAAAATGCATAATAGTTAGTCTTTAATGGTGTTTGCATTCTGTTGGACACCTTTCAAAGCATGAAGTAGTTTTATGTAACAATGTCAGCATTATGATATATTAAAATTGCAACTTTTGTGGTTAAATTAATAGAATATGTTACTCTTAAAATATGTAGAACTATTTTATCTATCTATCTATCTATCTATCTATCTATCTATCTATCTATATTTAAATATATCTTATTTACTAGGTGGGACTGAAAAGATCTCCTGTGCCCATTGAGGGTGGGCAACAATTATCACCTATTTAAAAAGAATAAAATTTAAGGAAAGATGACTTTCCAGAGGAGAAAATTGACATACACTTTCATAATGGAGTAGGGGAGGTTAACCGGAGATGACACATGAACAAAATGATCATCACAATTTAATATGATTAAAGGATATCACACCTTTACATTATTTCCAAAACCCTCATAAATCCTAGTAAGCCATGAATCACATATCAGACATAAAAGATAATTAGCAGTACACACAGTCAGTATTCCCCAATACTGTCATGTTTAAGAAAGATAGGACAGATTGAGAAAATACCAAAGACCAGAATGAGACATGGAAAACAACTAAATTCACCATGGAAGTCCGGATAGTATTCTAACAGTAAAGGAGATATGAAAAAAAAAATGATGAGACCCAAACAAAGTCTAGAGTTTAGTTTTGAAATTATGTAAGATAAGAAAATATTAAAAATACTTAGAAGGATTCCAAGATCGATGTTTGAAGGCAGCTCACCACATTAAATATGAGAGGTGTGTATGCAAATTAAAATTTATATTGGAAGGTGGTTTTAATAGCCGGACATGAAGAGGGACCAAATGGTCACTAGTATTATAATGCACCTGAAAATAACATAAATGCCTACTAATACATAAATGGATAGATAAAAGAGTATAATTGTCTAATGAGCACTAATGTTAACTAATAAGAATGAACTCAGACCATCAACAGAGTGAAATAAAATGATGTTAAATAAAGCAAATTGTTCAATCATCTATGCAGGATGATGGTAGTTAAACTTAAAACATACTCAAAAAAATTCAGTGGATTCTCTGAGAATACATTCACATTTGGAAAATCATATATGCATGAGAATATTATTCATTTGTCTCAATTAGTGGATTTTTTATCTTACTTGGGAAAACAATTCAGTAGAGAAGCTTCCAATTTATCTGTAACAATTTACTTTAAATAATGAAATGTGGCAAAATGTTTAACATTTGTTATGAATCTATAATTGCCTACATTATTGGGATCACAGTTTTCACTAATTAGAAGTAAAGTAATAGTGCTCATTTTAGCAGCACATATACTAAAACTGAAATGATGCAGAGAAGATTATCATGGCCCCTTTGCAGAGATGACATGTACATTTGTGAAACATCCCATATTTTTGTCCAATGCAGAATGGTCACCCCTGAAAACATGATACAAGTAAGATTATATGGCGTGAGCAGGTTATATTTAAGAAATATATGCATATACATATGTTTGTAATTACAGATAATAATAAAGGAAGGTCAGGGAATATGGGTTTGGAGAGAGGGAATGTAAGGGGGTAATGGTACAATTATATTACAGTTTCAAAAATTAATAAAAGCAAAAAGTAAATAAAACATTGATGACCTGTATTAAAAATAATAGAAAAAAAATAAAGGCCGAGGGGAGGGGACAAGATGTTCAACATGTAATATAGATCAGTAAGAAGACTGACTATGATACAACAGTGAAGTAAATAAGCTCAGGTAGTCTGAATGGAGGACGGCCTTAGACAGAGCCCTGGATCCTAGACAGTGCTTCAGGTTACAGTGATTAGCTGAAATGATTAAAAGGATCTTACTCTTATCTAAATCTAGACTTCAAGAATGGAAATTTGGGTTTGGGGATGAACCTTCTGAAAAAAAGATTTTAGTTTAGGAATAAACATATATTAAAAACAATCAAAATGTAGCTGTTTTTCATATATTATATGAAATATAATTATAAAATATATAATTAAAAATATATTTTCATATATATATTTCATATATTGTTTTTCATATATTAAAAAAAAACAAATGTAGCTGTTGAAATTGAAGTTGAAGGTCAGGGCATAGAGTACAAGTTGTAAAGAGCAGTGCTGGGGCTCAGTAGGTTAAGCCTGGAAGTCCCATAGTGGTTTTCTAAAGAAGTTGAACGGGTGTCATGACTTGAATCTAAGGTCAGTTAGCACTCTTCCAGTACCTTAGTTTCTACCTTTACAGAGTGGAGGTAAAGAGGGCAGCTACTTCACTGGCAGGCTTTAAACATTAGTTATCATTTCTGGGTGCATCGAACAATGTCTGAAACCAGAACACCTTATAGTTAAGGCTGAAAAATGCTGAAATGAACAAATAATACTACCAAATCTGTCAGAAGTATTTTTCTGTGCCCATGCTGATGTGTTTCTCTCCAATAAATTAATTGTCTCATTTGGCAGCAATGATATGGTCTTGTGCCAAAGCATTAGTTGACCTACACAGCCCTTTCTCTAAGAAGTCCAGAATATACTTCATTTGAGTGTGTTGACAAGCACTGAGAAAGGAAAGGCATTTCTTTTTCTCATTTTTCATAGCAACACTCACTGGTTGCTTTGCCCTGGCTAAGACAGAGCAACAGACTGAAACAGGAAATGAGCAGATGTGAGTCATTTGCAATTTATCAAGGTTTGAGCATTTCAGTTCTAACACCAAAACAGAACCCTTGGTTGATATGATACAGAAAGTTCATTTTACGAACATGTATTTTCACCACTATACAGTCTAAACAACCTACATTAAAAAATATTGTAAATGCTATGTGACCCTTGATCTCATCAAAATACAAATGGTATTTCATTCTGAAATTTAAAATAGTAACTTCACTACTAACAGTACCTAAAATCTCATTTTATTGTTTTTCCATGTTTAGTAGAAGTCCAGAGTATTACCTCAGAGGTCATGGTTTGCAAATGATGTCTTCTACCGTAACTGGAAAGTCCTAAGTATCTTCATGTATTATCATCCTCCAGCTTAAAGCTTCTCATTCAGAGAAATATTTTAAAACTCTATATTTAGAAACCCATAGAACACTCTGGAAGCCTCAAGACACTTGAATGATGCTACAAGGCATCATTAATGTCATTGCAGGAAACTAATAAAACAATGTATCAGTTAAAACACACATTGTCTTATCTGTTTTTAATCTAATATCCCGAGTGTTGCTCCATATGTCATTGTCAGTTATAACTCTCATATCGAGCACAAATCCTGTAGCTGGAAGCCCTTGGGAATGACAGATTCGTTTGAGCTGAACTATTCTAAGTAAGCCTACCCTGGATGGGAATAAAACAGATAGGTTGCAGGAGTTGCAGAAAACAGCCACATCTAAAAGTTCAGGGAATCATTTGTTGTGCTTGCTATTACAAACAGTTCAGTTTTTATTTCCTTGTACTCAGATGCTGAACAGTGGAATAAATTATCAAGCTATGGCTCTCATCTTGCTGAGAGTGAGGAGAGAGAAGTAAGTTCTTGGTGCTAAGCACTGTCTAGTTGACCTGAAATTGCCAAACGGCAGCAGTAGTTATCTAATAGGTTGCTCTACTGCCCATCATCCTATGTTTTTTTTTGTTTATTTATTATTATTATTATTTTAAATATTAGTTACAGATCATTAACTCTGTATCCCGCTCTCATTCCCTCCCAATCCCATCCTCCCTCCCTCCATCTCCTCCCTGCCCCTTTCCAAGTCTACTGATAGGAGAGGACCTCCTCCCCTTTCATCTGACCCTGGTTTATCAAGTATCTTCAGGACTGGCTGCAAAGTCCTCCTCTGTGGCCTAGCAGGGTTGCTCCTCCCTTGGGGGGAGGTCATCCAATCTGTTTAATCACTGATTTAAACAACAAGGACTCATCATCAAACAACTTTTTTATTAGAAGTCTAGTTATCCCCCCTTCCACCTCCTTCAGAAGACTCCCGGTGCTCTGCCCAAAATTTGGCTGTGAGTCTCAGCATCTTCTTTGATCTGCTGTTGGTTGGAGCCTTTCAGAGGACCTCTACGGTAGGTTCCCAATCTGTTCCCTCACTTCTACCACTTCTTGTGTCTATCCTGTTTGCCACACAGGAGATCCACCAGGAGACCAACAAAGCTAAAAATTCTGAGCCCAGGAGGCCCTGCAGAGACTGATGCACTAACCAAGGACCATGCATGGAGAGGACCTAGACCCCTGCTCAGATGTAGCCCGTGGGGAGCTCAGGCTCCACGTGGGTTTGAGAGTAAGGGGAGCAGGGGCTACCTTTGTCATGAACTTAGTTGCCTGCTCTTTGATCACTTCCTACTGGCAATGCAGCCTTTCCAGGCTACAGAGGAAGAAGATCCAGGAAGCCCTGATGAGAGTTGATAATTGAGGGTCAGATGACAGGAAGGAGAATTCTCCATTTCAGTGAACTAGGGGAAGGAGATGTAGGGGTGGGAAGAGGGAAGGATGGTGGGACCAGGAGGGGATGAGGGAGGGAGTTACAGTCAGGATATAAAATGAATAAATTGTAAAAGATAAAATAATAAAAATATAGAGATATAAAAAAGAAGTCTAGTTGTAAGATAAAGCTTATTCTGTACGCTTCTGCATAGTCTAACATTAAATATCACCCATTCTCACTTCTAGGAAAATAATTCACAAAGCTGGGCAGAGCAACTGTGTTTTCCAATCCTCTGAGCAGTAAGTTTCAATCACTGTTGTGCATATTTCAGAATGTTGGAAGTTAAGAGAATATCTACTATAGAAAGTAGTTATGTGTGTTAGTGGTTGGATTTCCTACAGATAAAAAGATACCACAGGAAGACCTTCGCATGATGATGAGCTAAGAATGAGATGGGTAGCAGAATGCTTCATAGTAAAGTACAGTTAGGTGTAGATAGATTTGAAGGAGAATAGAGGTGAGGCTGTCTTATAAGTCTCTGGCATCAAGTATCAGTTGCTGAAATAAGAAGGAAGGAAATTGGATCCTTGATGATATCACAATGAGGCTATGCAGTCAAATGGGTGAGGTCATAGAGGAGACTGGCCTGCTTTATGATCCTTCTCAGGCCAACCCTGCTTTTGTAACTAATAGGCACTTACCTGAAAAATATTTCTAATCTGCATTGTTGTTGTTTAGGCATGTTCTACATGGAAATGAGAGAGGCAGACGGGAAAGTTCATGTGAGGCTGGTTGTTTTCAACCAAAGTACTGAGCCTACCCTCAAAGTTATATCCTGGCAATTGACATAGCTATCTTTTCAGGATCTACCTGATTTATACTTCAAATAAATAATGTGGATAGAAATGAAGTGGTTAAGCTCTTGGCCCTGTTCCAGACTTGGGGTTTGTGATGACAATGGGAAACTTGGCATTAAGTACTGTATAAAGCAACAGGAATTATACATTGATGTTGGGTGTAGGTATTGAGGAGGAAAAACTATTAATTATAAGATACCATTTTGTAGTTTTTTAAATTTTTATGGTTTTCCATTTGAAGCTCAGTGTTATGGCGGATAGAGAGTGAATGGTACACTGTTGCTGGTTTGTGTTGACACCTCAGCTCTAGCATGTAACATCTTGGGCAAATTATTTAATATTTTAAACCACTTTTGTTTATTCTTCAGAATTATTTTATTTTTGATTGTGTGCATTTGTATATATCTGTATGTGGATATGTATATGAGTGTAGGTATCTGAGATGGTGACTATAAAGTACTTTATGATTAGAAAAGGCTCAGTACATGGTGGCCATATTTTTTTTAAAAAAAGGCTAAAAATGTACAAAGAAAAAACATGATACTTGCTTTCAATCTTGTACCTATAAATATTCAATGAAGACTATCGTTTCAGTGACTTAGAAGATAAAGATCCTATTATCATAAATCACAATTTCATTTCTCCTGAACTTAAGGAATTCTTCCTGTGTCAACTAAAATTTTGCTAAAACATAATGTTCTTTAATTTTTTATCTTCATCAAAGAAAATACAAGTTGTCTTCAGTGTGATAGATATAAGCATTGTTATCTTTTTCCAGGTTAAGCCACCTTTTAAAAATTTTGTTAATGAATGCTATGACTCTTTGTGTTCTCGTTGTTAATATAAAGCCTGTGTTCAGGTATCAGGTCATGATGAAGGCTTCTGTGCAACAGTGACCTACTCAGCTCTCTCAGCACTTTCTGTCGTTGAGAGAATGTGTTCCAATGGCATCTGTCATGATCATGTAACTACAGTCCAATACAAAAAATAAATGCATGCATATATTTCATCTCTCTTTTCTGCCCACAAGAAGCAGACTTCAAAAATTGATAGACTGATGAATCAAGTGCCAGCCAACAATAAATTTTGCATTCGCATGAAGAATATTTGAGTATTAAAATA